GGTTTTCCCCAAGTAATCCGAGACCCTCCGTTTTCCAAGGATGGACGGGAAATTATCAACCAAGGCCTCCCTTCATTCAACAAAAGCCGCAATTCCAAGGCTCGAACTTCCAACAACCATTCCAAGCTCAAGGTGTTCAAGGATTCTAACAACAACCCAATAAGTTTGCAAAGCTTGAATACCTAGTGACCACCTTTGTGAGCACGAGCACTCAAAAGTTTGAGAAGATTGAGCAATTTATGGATGTGGCAATAACAAACTTTTCTTCGGTCGAGGCGGGATTGAGAAGCCACCAAGGGAGTCTTCAAAACTTTGAGACTCAAATCGGCAACCTTGCCGGGATCCTCACAAGAGACCGAGGGGAGCCCTACCCTCTCAAACTATTGTCAACCCCAAAGATCAAAACACTAGTTGCAATACTATTCTTTTGAGGAGTGGGAAGGTTACCCCGAAAGTTGTTGCTAAGGAAGTGATCAAAGAGGAGAAGAATCCTTCAATGGCCAATGATCAAGAATGCTTTGAAGGGGAGGAAGAAGAGACCAAGAAGGCATTGCCGACGCCAGCACAAGTGGGTGAGTACAAGCCTCCTCTTCCTTTCCCCACAAGGATGCACAATAACTGATTGGAGGCGGAATGTGGCGGGTTCATGGAGATGCTCAAGAAGCTTCGCATCACAGCAAGTTGCCCAAAAAGCAACAAGATCCAGGTAGTTTCACAATAATTCCATGCATCGAAACACATCACATAGAAAAATCCTTGGTGGACTTAGTAGCAAGCATTAATGTGATGCCTTACAAGCTTTTTAGGAAGTTGCATCTAGGTGAGCTAAAGATCACTAAGCTTAGTTTTACATTGGCCGATCGCTATGTCATTAGTCCTAGAGGCATTTTTGAGGACTTCCTAGTGAAATTTGGTTAATTCCTAGTGAAAGTTTGTTATCCTTGATATCAGTGTTGATGCGGATATGCCGCTCATTCTAGGATGCCCCTTCCTTGCCACTACCAAGGCCTTAATTGATGTCAACAAGGGAACTCCGATTTGAGAGATGTAGAGGAGCAACTTACTCTCTTAATTGATCCTAAGGCTAAGAATGATGATGTAAAGGAAACTGAGACGAATGGTATGATTAGAAGTGGAGGTGAGCCTCTCAAGCCTCAAAAGGAAACACTGATTCATGAAATATGACATATGTAGAGGTTAAAACATCATAAGTGTCTAGGTCATAGACCTTGTAGCCCTTGATCCCTTTTGTGAACCCTAAGAATATGCATTTTCTAGATCTGGAAGTGAACTTGGTTCTGGTACTTGGTCTAGTAGATGCTTAACACAAACAACCAAAAACTCTGAGAAAAGAAAGATCTGGTTTTTGTTTATGGAAAAGTTCATATGGTGTTTGATTTTGCAAAATGGTAGATGGATTTCTGTTGATTAGGAAGGTGGCATGTTTTACACAGTCTAACCAAAAATCAAGAGTTAGGTGAGCCTGAAATTTCAGTGCTCTGGCAACTGCTAATATATCTTGATGCTTACGATCAACATTAGAGTTTTGTTGGGGAGTTTCAACACATGAGAACTCATGAATGATTCCTTTTTCTTGGCAAAATGAAGGAATGTTGAACTCTAAGACTTGATCACTACGGATTCTTTTGATTTTGGTAGAAAACTTGTGTTTCAACATAGGAACAAAAGAAAACAGTTGCTTCCTAGCTTCTGCTTTGGTTGGAAGCAAATGCAGCCAAGTAATACGACTGTAGTCGTCAACAATTGTGAGGAAATACTTAAATCCATCACAAGAAGGCTGAGGGATTGGTCCCCAAATATCAACATGAATGAGTTGGAAAGGTTCTTTTATATTTGAAACACTGAGAGGAAATGGTAAACGCCTTTGGCGAGCAAATGAACACACATCACAAGGTTCTGTATGGTTGATTTCTATACTAGAGTATAATCTCTTAAGGTAAGGAACACGAGATTTAGAGATGTGTCCTAACCTATAATGCCAAAGATTGAACATACTTGCAGTACTAGAGGCTACCACTTTGGAGTGGGGATGTGATATGGTTCCTGTCCATCTGGTATAGACCATTGAAGAGCTCAGCAGAACCAATCACCTTCATCAAAGTTGTGTCCTGAATGAAACAGAAACAGGAAAAGAAGGTTAAGCAAAGTGTGATATTCCTTGTCAAAGTACTCACAGAGATCAGATTAAAATTGAACTCTGGCACCAATAAAACATCATCAAGTATCATGTCTTGTGAGAACTGAACTTTCCCAATGTCGGTTGCTATGACTATATCCCCTGTGGGTAAAGAGATTTTTGCTCCTTGAATTGCAACACACGAGCTAAATAGTGACATATCACATATCACGTGGTTTGTTGCTCCTGTGTCAATTATCCAAACCTCTCCAGTTTTACCATTGATGTTTTGAGGGAGAATGGAAAAACTGTACTTGCTTGTATTGTGGTTCTTACTCATGAAGGCAGCTGCTGAATGAGAGGTTGTGCCTGCCTGATGACCTGAGGTTGATGGTGAGGTAGGCGCCGCCAGTGTGGAATTACCTTGCCGGAGCATGTTCAGCAAGTTAGCATACTATTGTTGGGTGATTCCTTCATGAATTGCAGTGGTTGCTAAGTTTGTCTGTCTTGATGCAACTTGAAACTGACCTCCACCCCTTGCATTTCGTGGTGACATTCCAGGAGGCCATCCTTGTTTATGGTAGTAGGTGTCCTCCGTGTGTCCCTGCATCTTGTAGTATGTGCAGTAGGGCCTTTTGTTTCCAAAACTGGAATTACCTCTACCTCTATATTCTGCATTTGTACTACTTGGAGTCCATTCATGCTTAGGTGCCTCTTCTGGCATCTTGAATCCAAGCGACTGCAGAGCTAATGCTACACTTTCAACCATTTTGTTACCATCTTGACTACCATAGGTTTGCCTTTCATGTTGAGCCATTCGATAATAGACATGTTCTATAGTTGGCAATGGATCTGAAAAGAGAACTTGGGACCTAGGTATGGCATAGTTCTCATTGGGACCTCTTAGAAACTTAATGATCAAATTCATATTCTGATATGCCTTTATAGTTGCAATCGCTAGACATCCTGTGTGACTAGTGGGAGTACAAACACAATCTGGGACTAGCTTATAGTTTTTGAGTTCTTCCTATAAACTATAAAGTAATCAGATGAATATGATATCCACTAAGGGTTTTGTTACCTTGTTTGAGGTTAGCGAGCTGTTCTTGTAGCTCCGCTATTCTAACCAAATCACCTTGTGCATACCTGGACTTTAGGGTTTGCCAGACCTCTGCTGTTGTTTTGAGACTCCGCTGGAGAATCCAGCTCTTCACCATGAAATTGCACTGAATCCATGGTACGTGCAATCTGTCAGTTGTTGCTGGTTCTGGTAGGCTCCCATCAACGAATCCCAACTTGTTCTTGGAGGCTAGGGCATCGATCATCGTTGCACTCCAGTGAATATAGGTGGTTGGTGTGAGTTTCTGTGAGACCAGCGAGCGTCCTGACTGCTCTGAACCATGGAGGTAGTATGGATCTGTAAGGGGGTATGTTGTGGCGTTGGCTGTTGTGGCTGCGTTGGCTGCTCTTTCCGCCATTGTTGGAATGGAGCATAATCAAGCACTGTAAAACGAAAAAGGGAAGAAATGAAAAGAGGAAGAAGAGAGCGACGAGCAGCCGAGGTTTGCAGGTGAGGTCTCAGAGCTCTAACTAGGCTCTGATACCATATTGAATAATTAGGGTTTTGGTTTCAATGAATCAGAATGGGTAAATTGCAAGGTTGGTCATTAAGATTGCTAAAAAGGTTCATGTTTGGTCACTAAAAATATTTAATTCCATTCGTGGTCACTGAAAATTAATTTAACGGTTCAAGTTTGGTCACTGGTCGTTACCTTCCGTTAGTTTCCGTTAACGGTGTCAATATTTTGCTGATGTGGCTAACAGAAGTGCCTAATCAGCTAATTTTATTCAGAAAAAATTAAAAGCTAACCTGGCACGTCATACAACCCAATCCACCCATAACCGGACCTGCCCAACCCAAAATATCCCAATCTTCAACTCATCGCTACTCATCAAATCCCTCCCTACCTTCTGTCAAGGTCTCAAGGACCTCCACCGTTCGCCTCCACTCTTCGATTGCACACTGCCTGAAACAAAGCTCTCTCTCTCTCCAGATCACTGGCCTTTTTCTCTTCTTCTCCCTCTCCCTCTCTCTTCTTTCAATAAGCTTCGCCATAATCCCGAAGAGGAAACCCTAGGCTTCTTGCTCCAGATCTGGTGGTCGTGCAATGTGATTGGCGGCGGGGTAAGTGGAACGAGCTCTTTGGAAGAGACTCTGGCCACGACAGAGCGAGTTCTTTGGATTCAAGCCGAGTTGCTCCAGATCCAAGCCGAATTCTTCTCCCGTGACCGGCTAGCGATAGAGATGGTGTCGCCCAACGTTCGATTGAATCCCGGAAGACTCCGTGAATCCGCTCGCCTGCCTCCTCCTTATGGACTTGCTGGACTAGAACGAGACTCACTGGTGAACCACGACAGGCGACCCTAAAACTGAAGCAAGATGTCGGAGGTGATGCAACCTTTCGTTGTTCCCGTTCTGAAGATCCGCCATCTCCAACTCCAAGCTCATATCCAAATAGTACCCCAGAAAAGCCTGCTGCTTGGGATAATTTGGGTTGGTTGGGATTAATTTGGGGTGGATCGGATCATGGGTTAATGTGTTAGATGGTTAGGTTTTCATGATGTGGCATGTCATGTGGCGGAGTTGGATTTTATTTTTTTCAGATTAAAAATAGGTGACTAAGTAAGTTTGTTAGCCACGTCAGCAAAAAATTGATGTCGTTAATGGAAACTAACGGAAGGTAACGGCCAGTAACCAAACTTGAACCGTTAAATTAATTTCAGTGACCACGAATGATATTAAATATTTTTAGTGACCAAACATAAACCTTTTTAGTAATCTTAGTGATCAACCTTGTAATTTACCCGAATCATAATAGGTAATCGCTTTTCTCTTCTTCCTCTGCTTATATTGAGCATATTAGAAAATAGGACAAAAAACAAAGTTGTGCCTTTGCACAGTAAATTCGAAATACAATAAAAACTGAATAAGACAATGGCTAGAAATGGTAAACGGAAAATCTTCAATCTACGTGTTTAACGGTGCTCCACTTCCTTCAACGGCGTCGTGTGCATCATTTGGAAGAAGAAGAAAACTCTTCTGTTATACCTTCCCGAAGATCAGCAAACAAAAAAAAAAAAACGGGGACTGTGAAACGGCACCAACCATAAGGTGACGGGAGTAGGATCATCGTAAAAATCCCGTGGCCGTGAGTGTCAATCTCTACTTATATACAAACTTAATAAACAAAATCTACAGGCTAAATCATCTTCAACGGGCGACCAAATTGAATTAAAAGTTGAGAAGGTTGGATATGAAGTTCCAGCCCATCCACGACTTCTTGTCAGAAGGGTTAACAAGATTGAGAGCAAACATTTCCTTCCTCACGTACCCTGCGCCTCCGGATTCACAGAAGCCGACGAGCTTGGCCACAATCTCTGCACTCTCATGGACGTGTTCCATGTTGAGCGGGTCCGTCCACAGTTTATTTACCAGCTGCAGCCGCCTCTGCTTCCCTCCCGGTGGGATGTCCCATTTCTCATACAGCGATTCCCTCTCATCAGCTCCCAGCTTCGAGCTTACCCTCTTCGCTAGATCCTCCCGTTCTTGTCTCAGGGCCTTGATACTGCGCCCCAAAACAAGATAACAGCAACTCGTTCAGTTCAAAAACCAAGACTGTTTCCTTCGCTATAAATAAATACACATTATTATATTACCTTTGAGACACCGAGCCAGCAGGCTCATCCCCCAACAGTGCCGGGCTTGCATTCCCAAGGTCCGCAAAATGCTGCTCCAGCCACGTCAGCCTTTTCAGCTCAACTTCCACATATATCTCGTCACTCGGGTCTCCATTGAACAACAAATAGAACTGGGTGCGGTGGATGATGGAAACATGGCATAGATGCCACAACATTATAATCTGCTTCCTTTGTTCCTCAAACACCAAGTGCCATGCCACCGGAGATTCGTCCAGATAATCTGTTTCCATTGCTATACCCTCATTTGCCTCTAGCTCTAGAACCTGATCAAATATGAAAATGCAACATTGTTCAGAATTTGGTAAGAGAAGGGGGGAAAAAGGGATTATGATAACATGAAAAAGGCCAGAATTTTTTTGTTAACAGGGAAAGGGAGGTGAGTTATTATGATACGTCGAGGAATCTGTCGTGAGCTCACCTGACAAACTAAAAGCTGTTTCTGGTACTGAAGCTTCGCCACCCTTTCTTTCAACTCAGTGACATAAGCTCGAATGCTCCTTATATTTTCTTCAGCTGCATTCTTGAACATTTTCTGCATTTTCTTCACATTAACCGACTTTGAAGACCTTGAGGATGGTGTTCCTTCCTTAGATGATGTGTTACCAGTATGTCCAACAGCCTTCACCGGGGTACATTCATTTGAAGTATTGCCACTAAACAATGGGTTACTTTTCTTGGGGTCTCTGTTCTCGACCTCATTATCCACTGCGCCACAGTGGGAAGAGGATGCCAAAGGTGAACAAGGAGAACGAATTAGATGTACATTAGAGCTGTTCCTTGACGTGAAAGGTAGAGCCCTTTTCTTCCTTCGTTGTGCCTTCATTTTTGGAGTCTCCTCAATCCCAGAGAATGAGCAAACCAGCATGTCTATGGACTTCTGAACATTATCAAGTTTCTTTTCTAACGAGATGATGGTGCTTTCTTGCGAGTCCAACCGGGTGAGCTCTTCTTTCAGACTGTTGACCTTTGTTCCAAACATAGATTCCTCAGGAACAAAGCTCCCCACATGCATATCCTTAATCTCAGATAGCATCTTTGCTATGGTTTCAGCAGTCTCTTGGCTCCCCATTCTTTGGGAGGCAACCTCCTTGTGAAGCACCTCCAATGCCCGATTCGCTTCTTCGCCAAGCTGTCTCTGCTGCTGCTCAAGTTTTCGTATTTCCTGAACAAGAATGGATGGATCATTGGAAGTGGCAGACTTCCTTACAGATCTACCCTGCCTACTAATGGCACTTCTCTTTTGCCCCTCTACAGAAAAGGGAAGCTTTCTGGCCACTTGTGAAGACGGCCCACTTTGTTTTAGACCCTGCAGTGGAACAATTTAGCAACCACGCTGGAGCTTGTAACTAGATATAATACAAGATCTCTAGAAGTCTATTACCTTTGGCTCCTTTCGCGATTTTCTTTCTAGTTCAAGTTGATATTCTGCAAGATCCCTCTGACGCTTGGCCTCTTTTAATTCATTCTGCAACTGAAAATCAGAACCTAAATGAGACAAACGTGAAGATAAAAGGGACTTATTGACATGCTCGTTTTGGATATTTGATATAGAATTGGGAATGTGTCATTAGGCCGGTAAAGAATCAGAACTAAATTTCATGGTAAAGACTACAGCATTATTGAGAAAACATGAGTTATTTTTAAAATTGATGTCCGTATGCTGTAAGATTTCTCTTTGTAGAAAAAGTTCTGCCAGGAGACTCTTAAGTATTAACAGACCACCAATTATGCAAAAAAAAAAAGAAGATAGTTTATCTTTCTTAAATACCTCCTCGATTTTCAGGTTCTTCTGCACCAGACTATTTTTCAGTAGTGAGACAGAAGAAGTTTCTGGTGTTTGAAGCTCTGCCGCAAGTCTGGCCACTTCCTGCTGCAGATGTTTAACCAATTTTTTGTCTGAAATGATCTGGGAAGGAAAAGAAGATTAAATCATCAGTTTGGAGTGAAAACGGACTAGTAGCATATTGTCCAAAGACTTCGGTAAAGATACTCTCTGAAGACTTTAGAGTTTCTCAGGTAACATGCGACACAATTATGCAATTGGTAGAAAAATGCTAAGTACGACCTAATTTGACTTTCAGACACCGTCAGTGTTAACACGGATCAAAGACTTCGGTAACGATACTCTGTGAAGTCTTTAGAGTTTCTAAGGCAACATGTGACACAATTATGCAATTAGTAGAAAAATGCTAAGTACGACTTAAATTTGACTTTCAGACACCGTCAGTGTTAACATGGATAAAGGTTCGGGAAGCTCAAGTAGTAAAACATAGAACGGGTTAGACAACCAACCATGTTCACTTGAGCATTGTTGGTTACTTCCTTGGCACTAGTTGCAAATAGCAGAGTATTTCTTGTTTGCTCCACATGACTCAAGGCAGGACTGATAGTACAGATAATGGCCGTGCGTGCATTACCCCCCAGTGAATGCTGCAAAATTCGAGTGAGTTTTGAGTCCCTGTATGGGACATGGCCACTTCTCTTTCCTCCACTGCAAACATATTAAGGATCAGAAAGTTGAAAGAAGTAACACTAAACACAGAGAGGGGTAGTGGGAGAGAACCAAGAACATAAACTGTTGTATCATCTATACTTCCTGAATGAGAAATGCTTATATGATTAGACATTAGTAACTGATGGAGATGAATGAAGATTCTTGTAAATAATACCGAAAGTCTAACATAATTTCATCCTGGCTTACCTTAGCTTTCGAATAACTGTAGTGAGGGTCAGCAAGCTGCGATTTATATGACTACCTTCTTTAAGTCTTGTACCATCTGCAGCTGTCTGAGATGCACGTTCACTTCCAGCAAGGTCCACCAGATTCTAAGATGTTGCAATGCACCACAGTGAAAATTTTGATGTCTAAAAGTTTATGGTCCATCACAAAATGCTACAACGTACCAAACTTGCTAAGAATGATTCAACACGACCCGACTTCTCCCTTGAAGTGCTCTCAATGGTCTATATACAGAACAATACGTTAATATATAGAACTAGAATGGTCTAATGGAGCAAAATCACTCGTGATTGCAAGATCCAAACAGAAAGATGGAGGAAGTATTATTTGATCACATGCAGAACTGGAAGTAGTATCTTATTAATGCAATTACATGCAGAATTAAAAATCACAACCGATCATCAAACCCTAATAAATCTCATAAATTTTGCTCACCAGCCGTATTATTTGATGTGATCTTGAGCTTTTGTCATTGAGGGCAGTTTCTCCAACTTGCCGTTGAGCTGTAGAACCAGAATTTTCAGTGAAGAGTAGAAGTAGCAGATTCATATGCCAATAAGTGCATGATGAGTTGCACGTTTGCGTTTATAATTATTATTCTTAGTCACTTAGTTACATACTATACATCAGTATGCAAGCTGGATCATTCTCTGTCAAAAGACAACTCTTCCCAAAGTCATGTGATGAATGTAGATATTGTGAAATTCGTGGCTTCACCAATTGACGCCCATTCTAATGAGTATGCAAGCCATGTAGTTACCTTCACAAATGCCAATTAAGTGTCTTAACTGTTGGCTATCCTTGACCACTTCTTCAACTAGCTTTTCAACAATGATTCCTTTCTGTTCTCCATCGAAATGATAAACAATATGAAAGATGTGAGCATTCGATTAAAAAAAAACTAAAATTGCTCAATTTTTCAGTCAATATCACAGCGTGCATACCTCAGGATCGTCCAGAAGCCGAAGGGGACCTGATTCACGGTTCAGGAGATCTACAACAGTCTCATTATAAATCTCCAAGGCTGATATTTTTAAAGAGAATTCCCTCTCCTGAACCTGAAAATTTAGAAGAACACAAGAGCGAGGAAGATGACTGATCATAATGTTATTGGGCCTAATCAGGTCGACATTTGTTTGACAGACAGAGAGACAGATCATGCATCCCTATTTTGGTATGTATCCTGATAAGGGTATCACAGTGGTACTTCTCTGATCATAGCTGCTAAATTTTCTGATGGACCATTGAAGGGACAAAATCCCAGAACAGGACAGAAGACACTGAATTTGGTTAACATATACGTACCTGCGCAATGTGCTGAAAGATGTCATGGATTGCATGGTCTGTGATCCCTCTCATGGTGAACGTCTTTCCGCTACTGGTTTGGCCATAAGCGAAGATAGTAGCTGGAACAAGTTAGAGACATCAGCAGCATTACCACTCTCGTAAGAGTAACCCATTGCATAAATAAACATAACACTCTTATCTAGGCAATAACTTCACAGCTCCGTCTGCTAGAGTAAATAAATTATTCACCATTAATTCCAGTGAGGACTGATAAAGCAACACTTTTAGCTCCTTGTTCGTAAACCTTCTGAGTTGTTGAATAAGGATCAAAGACTTTATCTGCCAACGAGAAACAGAAATAACAAGAAAGGAGGTTAGAAGCTGAATTGCTCCGCTGAAGCAATTAAACACGGAAACTACACAAGACTAAGTACCAAACATGTAGGCTGTTGTAGGCCGTTCTGGATTTGCAGTTTTGTGGATGATTGTCTGTTGATCGGGACAATCCCACGCTACAAGGTCATACAACGATTGTTCTCTCCCGCTCAGCGGCCGCATCCTCACAGTGACCAAAATTTTCTCCTCCCTAACCCTCGTGCCACCAGAAGTTGACGGCACAGTTCTCCGGGTCTTGGACGCCGGTGTAGCCGGGGTTCCGACCATTTCTCTTTTCCGCTTTCACTACGATCACCTACTTCTTTCTCACTAGCATTCAAAAGGGTTTCGCAGTGAGATAAACCATTCATCTTCATTTTCTTCGATTTCACATTTGAGCAATATTCAGCATGTAAGAATACAACAGCCCTAACAACTAAACCCTAAGAACTAATCGGCTTCCTAATTCGGGGAAATCAATTTAATACAACAGCCCTCACAAAAACAAAATGGAAGCCGCAATTCGACCTGGATTTCAAGTTCTTTCCATGAAAGCATGAAAAGGAAAGAAGGCGGCGCCGCAGCCCAAGCTCAATAGGGTAAGTAAACCTGAGACTAGCACGAACACATTTCTTTCCTTTTCTAGATATTTATGGGGAAAAAGAACTCCAACAAGAAAATCACCTGAAAAGGGGACGAGCCTAAAGTAAAAACATTAGAGAATCAAATCACGGAGCAAGATGACTTACAAGAGAAGTTGGTGAAGAAGTGGAGTTGTGAGGTTAAACTTAGTTGCTAGCGGACGGGGAGCGGAAGTAAGCGGCGGTCGCCGGGGAATGGAGAAGAACGGCTATGAAGCAAGAGCAGAAGCCGGCTGCGTTGTTTAGCGAAGAATTTCAAGAAAGAAGCATGAAAGAGACGCAGCAGGAATGCAGGAGCGCAGTCTGTGTAAGAAATTTGTGGGGAGCGAAGAGGAGGAAATAGTAACGGCTACTTCTGCAACTTTTATTTTTTCCGCTTACTCCGGGCACCTGAAGCGAAAGCGCTCGCGAGTCGGGAATTTATTTTCGTTCTTTTTTTATTTGTTTATGGTTATTCTTGGTTTTTGAATTTGGCTCATTTAGGGTGGTAACATCCAATTTGATTATGTTAACATTAGTTTCAACTAATAAACATTTGGTTTTGATAGTTCTTTATTTTGAATTAGTCTTATACTCGGCCAGTTGACTGGAGTATGATAAATCATATTATATCATATTGGCTAGGTAAGAAAGTTAAAATTTTTATTTCACAATAAGATATTCAAATATAATAAATAATATGTGTCGAATAATTTTATGCGATTAAATAAACAATCTCAATGATATCAACCAAATATTAAGTTGGTCCGATGTAAGTTGAATATATTATTTTATATTTATTTCATTTTAATAATAATATTTACTGATATACCAATAATGAAATCATGATGGTATAGTAAATACCATAGTATGATACGACTTCTATTACGAGTTCACGGATAATAGTCGAATGAGTTTCTATTATTCATATTGTTCTCTTTAAATGTTTGCTGGAAATATTTTAGATTGAAACAAAAAATATATGATCCAATTAAATTACTAAAATTATACGCATGCTTTACTCTCAATGTAGAAAAATTGAAATGAAGAAAAGAATCTAAAGTTATAAATTGAGGAGGATATCTAGCTCTTTGTTCGAAATATTTTATCTTGTTTAACTCTTGTTTTAACTTACTTTTAAAACATATTCATTGTTTATTGCGTGCAAACTCATATTTATGAGATATTGTCTTGTTATTGGATAATTTTCCAACCAAACACAAAGCACTAAGTTAATGATTTTTTTTTATGTAAGTAATACATGTTTTGAGTTAGAAATTCATTTAGCCAATCAAGAATTGTGGGCTCTTGCCTAAATTTATAATAAATTTGTGGTGAAACTTTTCCAACATGTAACAGACGAACTAAAAATGATTCAATCATTTCACTCAAGTCCTTAGCGGAGGTGTGTAAGCCTCGATGATCTTTGAACCAATCATTATAAATGCTTCGTCTAACCCTCTCAAGTGATGATTTAATTGGCTTAGAACATTAAAAGATTTTCTTAGTACAGATACTTGATCACTATGTAACCCTAAATCACCATAATTCTCTAAACCTTGAACCGGAATGTATCCTAGGCCCTAAATTCAAATTATTGAATCATATACCCTAATTCTATAAACCTTAAACCTTAAGATCACATATACTAAGAGCAATGATCAATGATTTTGATCTGACGGGATATATCCAACATATCATATACATTATATTAGTATTTAGAGAATTACCTTATAAGATTTAGTTACTCGATTAATTTATGGTCTAGATAATATTACTTAACTAAGGTGATGTCAGTAACCCCCAATGAATTAGGAGTACCATAGAATTCCCAACATATATGCACATCATTGTTTGTTAAATTTGAACATTAGCCAATGATGTTTGACTCATTGGTCAATGATATTTAGTCTTTCACTTTTATGCTTATGATTATCAACCATTAGGGCAATTTTAGCAAATAATTTTTGTTCATTCACTTATAGTATTGAAAATGTCTCGTTACAAAACCATAGCATTAGATAGATTATCAAATGACAAATTTTATGTTGAAAAATGAAATTTTGTATACCATTTTTGAGAATAATCCTTGCATTCCTACAAAATCATGTAACATCATCAATGTATAAGTTGTAATACATTAAATAAACTCAAAATTTGTTATATGATTCTTGGTGAAAGTTTTTGTGAATAGAGGAACTCACTTCGTTTATTATAGAGGTAGGTACATCATGATGAAGCACATTGTAAAAAAAATTCAAAGTTATTGGTTACTTGGATGACTGATTTTTGCGGTGGATAGTCATTTGATTAGTGATTTCGAGATATATACATATTTTATAACTCTAATTCAAAAAATACAACAACTTTCTTGCAGTCCAATAGGTTAGGAATCTTGATTCTGACTTGGATGAATTTGAGTTCAAATCTTAGCTATGATATTTTTTTTATAAGGAATTTGAAATGGAAAAGAGTACCCAAAACTCTATTATTATATACTATATGGGTTGACCAGAATTATTAAGGGGAGGAGACAATTGGCAGTGGAGGGATACACTTGTCATCATTAAAATCACAATTTAAGTACTCATAAAACATACCAGAAAACGAAGAATTCATACCAGAACCACACCACAAAAGTCATACAAGAAACCTTATAAACCATACTAAACCAAATCACAAAAGTTATAAACACACCATAAGTACTAGAAAACATACAAGAAAGCTTATAAAACATACCAGGAAGCTTATAAAGCATATCTCGCTTTATTTCCCTCCTCCTCGTCGTTGTCACAAATCGAAATCAGTAAATAACGCCAATATGTGCAGGCTCATCGTCGTCTTTCCCGCTTTATTATCTCCCTCCTCCCCACCGCCGCCACCAATTGGAACCAATAAATGGCACCCACACTTGTAGACATATCACCGTCTCCTCCAATTCTTATCCTCGACACCTTTCTTGCGTCTACGTCAATCCCAATGGTGATATAATCACAAATCATTCCCAAGCCCATGTCGATCCTTCTTGTTGGTGTTTGTTCCTCATTTGCTTAATTGGATTTACCCTAACTATAATTTGCAATATCTGGTTCATGAAAATTGGATACTTCAAATTAAATCTCAGCATTAGAATACCATATCTCTATCTCACTTTCGACTTTCTTCGACGACATGCGATGGAGGTAGGAGGTGACGAAGAGAGTTGGAGGCGCCATGGTGGAGGATGAAGAAATCAACTTCTAGTTGAGGAATTAATTCTCGTTTGTGATTATCAAATGGAGATGGTATTCAACTTCTCTCTCTCTTCGATGAATACATTACAGTGCAAACTTAGTAATTGAGCCAACAAGATTGTAGTAGATTGGCGAATTTAATGATAAATTCGGCCACCGATATAAAATGCATACGGTCCCCACCCATCATTCAAACTAGGATCAATTTTGCCGCCCATAAAAGTAAAGAAAAAAGCACCATTGTAGAGTTTGATGCATTCCCAAAAATGTTCCAGAACATCACTATTTGACTCCAACAAATCTTTAAGCAATTGAAAGGTTGCGAACGACAGAAAGTTTGACTTTTCTTGTGTACAATAAAGGTTGAATTTTCGAGTGTTTGACAACACCTAAAATAGGCATTACTTAGCACCTATTCCCAAGGCATTTGCATGTTAAATTACCATTTCTGGGCCACATATCAAGTTATGTATGCCTATTTTTGTTCCTATTTGCAAAACATCTGTTTTGGCATAGGTATTTTTATATGAAGGTTTCCATTGGGGAATCGACCCCACTTTTGTCGTATTTTATGACTTTTCAAGTGTTTGTGATGAAATTCCAGGTCTGATATGCATTTGGAATTGATCGAGAATCGATTGGAGTTCATCCGAGCATAATTGGAAAGCATAGGAGCAAGAAGGGGAGCAGAGGCACTGGTCACGGCCAAACATCACGACATTGGCAACCAAGTCGTGACCATGTTCGCGTGCGAAAGATCACAGCCATGAACAGTAGCTGCAAACTTCAGCAGGCGGCCAAAATGAAGGCAGAAAGTTTCCCCAATTGAATCGTGGACATGGTGCATTTTGACCGCAAAATAGATTGCGTCCGGGGCACAAGGATCAAGGTCACGATCTTATGAATGAGGCTGCAATCTCAGAGTTTAAAGATGGAGTCAAAACACGTCATTTCGAAAGATTCGGAGACATTCCAGCTAGTCACGGTCGTGACCATCGCGTCATGCTCTAGAGGCCTTGACTTTCGTGAGCTTTCTATAAATACCCTTCATGCTGCACTTTTCAATGGAAAGCCGAATTAGAGTGAGAAACACCTTGGGAGAGCTTAATTAAAGATCCAATCCACCCAATGAGCAAGAAGATGGTGCAAGCGAGGAGAAGAAGATTGATTCCATCACTCCATCTCTTCTAGTTTGTGATAAACCTAGGGGGTTTTTTTGTTCAGAATGCGAAGCTAACGATTCAATCGACAGATCGATTGAACTAGAATCAAGAACAAAGCGTTCTTAATACGAAGTTGGATAAAACGTGCAATTCCACACCCGAGGAAAGATTCGAATGATATAAGGATAGATGTCCAGCCACGATCAACATGTTCTTGATCGATACAAGAGCTCAACTAGTTTGTAATCCACCAAACTCAACACAAGTATGCAAACTTGTAACTAGTAAAAACTAGGTTTTTAATTCATCCAAATCTGACTATTTTAATGCGAAAAGGAAGTTTAAATAAACTCTGGATACGTCTATCTAATTGACTCGCACGAAACTACACCAAAAATTAATTTCAACTAGAGTCCAAGTTTTTAAACTCTAGCCGGGTGTAGTATAGAGCAAGTATTTCAATTGTCAACCCGGGCCGGTCCATGTACACCTACTTCGATAACTTAAGTTGTTATCTAGAAAGCAACTTTAGGGTTTAGGTTTATTGGAACTACAAACTAACCAATCAAAGAAAGGTAAATAAAGGAAAATTCTAAATAAGGGAGCCTCACCCAGGAGTTGCTTCCCCCTAACTAGCTACCGTGAATCGTTGGATTGAATGGAGTCTTGTGGCATAGGTGGTTGTGAACCATGGGTGGTGAGCAACTAGTGATCAATCTGTCATGGCATCAATTCACTAGCGATCGATTTGTCACGGGATTGATCCACTCACCAAGTATAGGGGAACCACTAGGACGAGCAACTAGTGATCCATTTGTCACGGGATGGATTCACTGGAGGTCGATTTGTCACGGGATCGACCCTCTCACTCGCTCACTAGTGGTTGCCTAGGTCTCTCCCTCAAACCGGAGTTTGAGCGGCTTAATCACAACTAACCTAGATGCAAAC